ACCATTGTCACACTCCATAGCTCTGCTAAGGAGAGTCCGTAGCTGCGAAGATATTAACTTTACCTCCACATTCCACCATTGTCACTGCCATTCATCAGGGATCCTTGCCAGCTCCACACAGTGACCTGAGCAGAGGGAAGAGGCATTGTGGATGTTGAGCATCTTGAGCAATGGAGAGAGATGGGACTCAAAGATGGAAAGCATCTGCATTCTGGAACCGTAGTGTTAGTTAAGAGATCCACAGCCTTAGGCTTCTACCACCTAATAAAACTCTCCCACTGATAGGACCAAAAAGCGCCTTTAAACTGGAAATCTGTTTGTATCAGTTTTCTAAAAGGACTGGGCAGGAAAGAATCCTGAAAGGGAATAAACTTTACAAAACAAATACTCAGCAGATTGCATTATAATGGGAATAGCACCATTGGATAAATGAATCCTCCCCAACTCTCAACCCACCATGCTTCCTAATCCATCATCAGCAAATGTGATCAATTTTGCAGTCTAAGAACTTTAAAATTATGTTCTATGGGAATGTAGTAACTAGGTGCAGTTTCCTCTTGGTGGCATGTCAGAGCGAAGAGAGGAAAAAGATGAAAAACTTGTCAATTTTTAGTTAATAATTCCCATTTTCCAGCAAAAAGGAAGCTCTGTGAGTAAATCACCTCTGGGTTTACTTGGCTTTCTTGTTAAAAATAGTTTCCAGCTGTTACATGAACCCCTGTCCACAATGGAGAATGAGGAAAAAAAAAAAAAAGCACTTAACCTAGTCCTTTATTTTCTCCAAATGCTTGGAAAGGAGAAGCTAGGGGCCAGTTATTTTTCCCTCAGGATAACTAAGTGTTAACATTTAACCAGAGACTTGGGTTAGCTATAAAACTGGCCTGGACTTAACAACTGAAAACGAATTGTTTTGCATTTTTCAGTGAAAATGACCCTTGTTCTCACACAGGCCATGAAATCATCCTCTTCAAATTGGATTCTGGATCAGCACACTGTGGAAATCACTGCATGGGCTTGGAATTTTGGACCCTGCCTTTCCCCCCACCCTCCTCGCCTTTCTTACTATGTTAATCTGCTTATCTTCCACTACACCACTGGCTTCCTTTCCTTCCTGTCTGTGGCCCTGGCTTGCCTTCATGGGACCCTACACTGCCTTCTGTGAAGTCTCATTCTCCATTGTGGGCAGGGCTTCGTGGGCAGAGGGAGACTTTGTCCAGTTAGCAAGCTCTCTGCAGATGGAACTCTGCAAGTGGAGAGTACAACCTGGAGTTCCAACTGGCCCCACCCCTACCTCAGCACTGCAGGTATAGTGCGAGAGACACATCCGGTATGATGAGCTGTCTTCTGGTTCTTCCCTGTTTTCTACTGCTCTTCCTAACAAGTCAGTCAGCCTCATTCTGCTCATCCTGTGTGCCTGAGGTCACTCTGAGAATGCAGCTAACCACCATCATGGGAACCTAGCAATCTAAACTCAGCAATGAGAGATGAACCATTGGCTAGAGTAAAGGGTCCTCCTAGGACACACTTGGAGAAATCCATTCTGGGTCAAGATGTGGATCACTTCATTTCTCAGGGCACCTGTGGCTCCATGTTTGCTTCAGGTTTTGAGTAATCTATAAAAGGCAGGGAATAGAAGCAAGTAAACAAGGAAAAAGAAAAAAAGAGTAGATTTAGTGCATTACAGATAAATCTTAACAAACCCTTCCTTTCTATTTCCATGGCCCATAAATGTATCTCAAAAAAAAAAAAAAGTAAAAATTGGAAGAAAATTTCCTGATAAGGTTGTTCAGGATGGCATTGTTTATAAACATAAATATTAGAAAAAGCCTAAATGTCTAATGACAGGAATGTTTATGATAACAACATAGTCATTTAATTGATGTTGTAGAAAAATGACTTTGACTTGGAAATCCAGTATTGGTCGCTGAGTGAAGACGTCATTTACCCAGCAGCACACACAGTCTGACCCCTTTCTGTGAAAAGTTTGTATATGCTGGAGGGGAAAACATCGAATGTTAAATGTTAAATGGTTTTATCTTTGAATAGAAGATGATGGTTTCATTTTTTCTCCTTTTATGTCTCTGCATTCATTAATTTCTAAAGTGCTTTATAGATGAGAAAAATAAATGGAATTTTAAAATCATTACATTGGGTTTTTCCTTTGGGTTCCCTAATAACAATTCCTCCTTGCAAAACACTTTTCTGAAATTTGGAGATGAGGATCTCCCGTACAAACACGTGGTTTGTCACAAGCATCAAAGTTAGCGCTGCTGAGTGAAGGACCACAGGCCAACTTCTTAGCAAATCATTAGTGGCATACTTTATTAGACAGTACGGTAATTTATAGCATCATTGCATCAAGCAACAGCACATGTTTAATGAGTGTCAATTATTTCCTCGGCCCTGTGAACAGTGCTAGGCAGCATTTATCTTTGATTTCTTCCTTGATTGCAAGAGTGGTTAACTCTATCAATTGTTTACCAGCAATTTAAATAAGCCGATTGGGTGTTTTCGTTTTTTCTTTCAAAGACCATTCCACACTGTGTCAGTAGTTTAGAAACTGAAAATGGTTATATGCCAGGATCCGCTCTTGGATTTATTTATTTATTTGTTGCATTTGTGTAGCCTTTTCTCATTCTGAAGGGTTAGCAAGTCTGTTTCAACTGAATGTAACAACTGAATGTGAATAGTATCAGTTATTATAAAACAGAGGGGTGGGGTATAACTCAGTGATAGAGGGCTCGTCTGCCATGCAGGGGGCCCTGGAATGGATCCCCAGTTTTTAAAAAAGAAATAAAATATATAAGCTAGCTGGGAAATAATAATACGTGTTATTTTCTATATAGAAGGGGAGGAGGAAACAATGTTTAAGGCAAAGGTGTTGGATATTAAACAGGGTGACTTGTTCAAATGCCATCAATTTTCTATAGTTTAGAAAAGGCCTCAAGAGATCTTAGCTTCTCTAGGTCTTTGGTCTCATCCGCATAAACCTTCTACCATCTCTCTGTGTGCCCTAATTCCTGAGAGCTGCCCATGTGAACCTGAGGGTAAAGCATTCCTAACTGGCTTTTAAAACTAAAATTCAGCCCTGTGCCCTCATTTGCCGGCCTGGGATGGGATCTCTTGCCATGTCTTGCTGCTCTTGTCAATTCTGAGTGCAGTTTCCCCATTGGACCTGTGAGGAAAAATAAGCTGCACCTGGCTTGCTGTTCTTTGAATGCTATGACTTTCCTTCCCTAAGTGGCAAAGAAAGTTCATTAAGAAGGATGCCTTAGGGAGCTTAGCTTCCCAGCAAATCTATCACTCCCTAAGTGTTCCCCATGCTCCATAGCTCCCAGCAAGATGCGTCAGACACCTAAGCATCAGGAACATTACAACTTCCTGTTCCTCCTCAGGTCAGTGCCAGCTCGCCTTTGCTGTAATATTTTGTACTTGGAGTCTAAGAATACTTAGAGGTCAGCCTCCATCAGGTCAAGCAGTGAGTGCTTCAGGGCCTGGGAAGTATTACCCTGTCACAAAATTAACCTGTCCGTACCAAAAATGATTTCTCATGAAACTAACAAAACAAAATGATGCTTTTTTATTCTAAATCTACATTTACTATCATACAAAATAGGTGTATTAAATGCATCAATTTGATTCTTTCAGGCAATTATAGTCTAGATGAAGACAAAAAAAAAGTATTATACTTCCAAATCTTGTCATTACAAAAACACATGGAACATTTAAAATAGAATGTTCTCGAAAACAGGCACAAAGCAGCATTTCTGTTTTTATTGAGATCTATCGGATGGTGAAATCTGGAAAGCTCGTTATTTGTACATTTATTATCTATTTTTATCACCAAACTAGAGTGAAGAGGGAATTATCAGGCAAGTTCTCAAGATGGTGCCTTTGGGGGATTTTTTTAGGGAGAATTGTTGAGGCTTGGGGATTTCTACAGATGGCTTTCATTTTTGTGTAGGTGGCCAACTGAGGGAAGGGGTTGGGCTGACACATGTGAAAACAACAATTCCCAAGCAAGCATTTTAGAAATATAAGAACAAAACAGTACATTCTGCCTATGTATGTGGCCTGAAGCACAGGGAAGGCAGGGAAGACTCTTGTTCAGATCAAGCTAATTCAGTTAGTCATTCTGGTAGAAGCCTGATTAAAGACTTTGGTGTTACTAATAAATTAGACCATTGTAAAACAGGGAGCAGCTTGCTGTACAGCCATTCAAAGGAGAGAAATAAAAGGTCACATCATTTCTGGACCCTCAACTGCTTCACAGCCTCTCTCTTTCTCCCCACAGAGGTGAAAGGAAACTTCAAGAAAGTCTCCAGGATCCCTTAGGCTTTCTGAAGAAAGTGAATAATCACAGCAGACAAGCAAGATGTGCTCAACACTTGATGCTGTTCAAGGCCCACGGCAGTAGCTCACCCTCATCCCATAAGCCAGGAGAGAGCAACCGGCTTCAGCCAGGGCAGCTGGAAGGCCTCACGGGGGGAGGCAGGCACTTACCTCGTCAGCGCTGGCCTTCTCTCAGTCCCAGACCACCTCTCTGGCCGGCAGAGTGATGTGCAGGGCCGAGAGCCCTAAGTGTCTGTGACTTTTAGATCTTTCCCTTCTCCCTTTATGGGATCCAGGATTTAAAAGTAAACAATTCTTTCTGTTTCTGATAAGTCACATTAAATTATCGATTGTGGGAGAAGGGAGGGCATGACCTTAGTCCACTAAGTCAGCATCACCTTTGGTCAAACACTAAGCAGGACTGAAGCCCAGCATTCCCCACTCTGCTGTGTATGTTGCCACCAGCAGACACCCATGGGGACCAAGAGGGTAACATGGGCCGCCATACCTGGGGAACACATTTTCCTCTCAGAAACCCAGTTTAACCTTGTTGAGCTCTTCCCTTGTAGGAAGACCCACTTAATAAATGTAATAACATTGTTATCTCCTCAGGTTCCTAGAAAGAAAAGGCACTGCAAACCATGAAATGTATCCTTGACTCATCACACCTCAAGCTCTTGACCAATATTTGGAAGTCAATCTCATGGTTTCCTTGAGCTGGTCATTTCTGACGTATTTATTGACGAGCATTATTTCTGAAGTATCTTCTTATCTGCTGAGCTCTGGAATGCTCAGGGAGTAAGGTAAACAGCTTTCTAGTCTGTAAAGACAGACCCAGAGGCAACAAGAAACAACCATAAAGGCTGCCGTGGGCCTGAATATAGTCTGTTGTCTGCTATTTGTGTGTGTTTTGCAGGGGAGATATTAGGGATTCAAACTCTCTACCACTGAGCTGCATCTCCAGCCCCTTCCATTCTTTACTGTTGGACAGAGTCACAATAAATTGGCTAATCTGGCTTTGTATTTGTAATCCTCCTGCCTCTGTCTCAAGTATCTAGATTATGGATGGGCACCACTGTACCCAGTAGCTATCCTTTTTCTGATTTTTTTTCCTCTTTAGGCTATTGGGCAGTTTGATTGCTTAAGTCTAAAGAGAATCATTTGTTACTCTCTCGAATAGTAAGCTTTCTGGTGAGAGCTGATGATAACTTTGAGGAGACAGACTCGACTGGCAGGTACTGTCACCTCACCCCACATTTTTTTCTTTTAATTGTCTTATTGCTTTTCAGGTAAAAATGAAAGGCAGAATGTATTGTGGAATTTTGTTGTTCTTCCCCAAGAATTGATCTCAAGAGATGAGCCCAAAATGTTGCATAGCTCCTTGGTCCCGTGGCCATTCCTTTTCTTCTGGTGGGAGACTCAGTTCCTTTCCTGGTGTCTTCAGCTCACCTGAGGTAAGTGGGCACCCTCTGCTCTAGAAACTACAGGGTCTTCCTGTGAGGGCTGAGGTTCAGGCTGGTATATTCTTATAGAAAAGCCGAGGGGGCTGGGGATTTAGCTCAGCGGCATAAGTGCCTGCCTTGCAAGCAGGCAGTCGTGAGTTCGATCCCTGGTACCGACAAAAAGGAAAAAGACAAAAAAAAAAAAAAAAAAAAAAAAAGAAAAGCCGAAAGCTCATCTTGCCATGGGGAGAAGGTCCTAGTGACCCTGTAGAAGTGTTCACGGTCTTGTGCTCCCTAGCTTTGTTCAGGGACTGCAGTACCAACATTATCTTCTTAAAGGTCATGTTACTGAGGCTGCCTGTGGTAACTTGCTTTGTGTTTTATTGCTTCTCTTAGTCACAGTAATCATATTTCTTTTCAGCAAATTACTGCAGATTTTTTCCTTTAAAGTGAAACAGATTCCATGGGGTTCCCCATGTAGACATTCTTTCCGAGGGCAAGACAAACCCCTCCCGCCACCAGGCCTCATGAAAGCACATCTGGGCATTTTCATCAGTTTCTTATGATCTGTGAAAGTTGATGCACTTTTGCTGAGACAGTTTCCCTTTATTTAAAAAATCATGCAGAAGCAAAGGCTCAACTTTCAGATGATTTTCTTTAAATTCCCAGACATGGTTCTTGTAAGGCTTCTGAATTTCAGAAATAGGATGACTGTTTTCTAAATGTCTTCCAACCAATCACACAATCCTTCCTCAGCTGTCTTTAAAATTAATTTTAAACAAGTTTTAAGACATAAAGGATGTATTCTCTTGAGATAAGATAGTTTCAAATCCTGCAGGACTGCAGATAAGCTTGGAAAGATTAGATCGCTAATGTTTGTCCTGAGACACAAGCTGTGAAAGTGGGCTTCACCCTCAGGGCAAAACAAACCAGGTAACTTTCCACTGGCTGCAGCTGGAAGCAGGTTCCACCAGTGGCAATGACCGAGCCCATGGTTTTCTCATCTCCTTGCCACAAGCTGCCAGATTTTGGAAATAGGGCAGGGTGGGAGGGGAAATTGGGTCCAATGAAGAATGCCAAATGTTTGCCAGGAAGGATGCTGAGGTTGGGAAGTTATAAACCTCGGATGCAGTCAGCATTCTTTGCCATGTGGAATTTTGCTTTTGACAAGGCATTTTATATTTCTAAGACTATAGTTTCCCTTCTGAATCGCAAAGCTGAGAATTCTTGCTTGTCATTTCCTCTCAGGTATAACAGGAGAAGGATTTGTCCTTAAGAATGAAGGGAGGAAACAAAGATGGATAAGTTACAAAGATCATGGGCTGTATCAACCAACTGGGTATTTAGTCCACTAGTAAAAACAAAAGAGTGTCACCCTGCACAGGGCACAGGCCAGGCACAGTGGAACTGGAGGGATGCTGAGCTCCCAGAGCCCCTGATTTGTATCTAAGAGAATCAAAATCACTTTAAACTAATGTGACAACCCAGGACCCAACTGAAAACAGCAAGTCTTGGTTTCATCCTTGTAGTCACACACAGGTCCCTTTCTGCTAAATGTCCTCCTCTTGTCAGTGGAATTCTAAGGAGACAGGCCTAGAATGCAGTCCATCCTCGCTGCCTTGCCCCCCTCTCTCTGGGTCTGGACCCCTCCTTCTCGGGATGAGCTAACACTTTCGAGAGAATCATCCTTAAACGTCAAACAAGACCCCCAAACAGTCTGCAGTAACTTACTCATCCAGGGAATATTTGTTAAACTGAGTGCAGTGACATGAGCCTGTAATCCCAGCACTCTGTGCTAAGACAGGAGGATCGCAAGTTTGAGCCCGGTCCAGGCTACATAGGGAGACCCTGTTGGGGGCCACCACATCCTGGCCATACCCTAGCTACTGAGCATATAGAAGCAAAGCGTATAGCAAGCAAACTTAACCAAACAAAAAAGTCTTCATTCAGTGAACTTCCAACCAGAAAGAGACACATAATACACAAAATAAAGTCAAAGTAGTGACTTTGAGGGCAAGATTCAGATTAAGATCGTATGAGCAGGGCCTCCAGTCTGAGTAGAGAGCAGAGGAAGTTAAGAAGTAAACCATGAGGGCTGGAGTATAGCTCAGTGTTAGAGCACTTGCCTTGCATCTGCCAGGTCCTGAGATTGATCCTCAGTGCCGGGGAGAAAAAAAGTAAACTACTGGGCAGAACATTCCTAATCAGACAGCTCTGTGTGCTTGGATGTATCCCAAAAGAGTTAGGGCAGAAAGGCCAGCATGTTATGAAAGAGTGTGGCAGAGCCTTTCAGGGCATTGTAAGGACTTGTACTTATTTGGTGTTTAGAGTCCAAAGTATGCTTGGCTAATGTTATCTTCACAAAGTAGAAAACAAATACTCAATTTCTATTGCATTTATTTATTTGTTTGTTTGTTTTGCACACTGGGGATTGAACCGAGGGTCTTTGCACTGAGCAACATCCCCAGCCTAATTTTCTTTCTTTCTTTCTTTTACAAGATCTTGTTAAATCACTAAATTGCCCAGGCTGGGTTTAAACTTACAATCCTGCCTCAACCTCCCTGAATGCTGGGATTATAGACACGGGCCACTACACTCAGCTTAATAGCTACTATTTTTAGTAAAGAGAAAATGAATTAGGATTGGAATTCAAGCGATGATTCAAGAGTCAGCCCCAACTCAAATTCATTTCATAACTAATTATTTTAAATAATCCTTTGAACAGGTTGCAGAGATGCTAAAATGCGGGGGAAATTGTGTTTTAAAATCAATGAAATGTCATGATTTGAATGTCTCTTCCTCTTTTTCCTTCTTCATATTTTGCTGTAACACAGACTGTGATTAACGGCACTGACTGTGGAGCGAAACCGTAGCCTACCACTTGTTATCCTGAGAGCAAGGTAGTTAACTTTTCTGTACCTTAATTTCTTCAATAGATAAATTTGTATCAGCAGTAATACATGCTTCCTAAGGTTTCAGTGAGGACTTATTACACACAAGCTTAGGACAATGACTGGTCTAAGGCAATGCTAATAGATGCCATTATTAAATCCTTACAACATATTTGATGCTTCTTATTCTAAGTTTAAAAGTAGGCAGCAGCTCAAATGCACAGCTGGTCTGCGTCAAGCTGGACCTGATGCCTACTTTTCTTAGGGCACTGCTATGCCCTCTGCCCTTCTTCCACCGTGCCCTTGAAGGAAGCCAGGCTACAACACCCGGGACTTTGCTTTCCTGGAGTGGCTCAAAGCCCCGAGCCTGCTGCCAAGGTCTTTAGTCACACAGTTCTAACTAATCCACGATCTTTGTCCGGATGGCCATCGCTGCGGTTCACTTCCTGTCACTGAGCATTTTCACTGAGTGCCACAAAGTGGGAGGCAAGAGCGGACGTCGGCTGGAGCACAGATTCGGGTGCCTGAGCAAAGAGATCAGCAGCAAAATGCTGGACCTCCTGTCCTGAGAAGGAACAAGCGCGTGCAGAATTAAGGAGGTCTTCAAGCAGGAGACCCAGCCCCAGGCCAGGGATAGATGGAGGCCGAGCTCCTTAGGAAACAAAGGCCGATCCCAGCAATTCCTCTAACCCTTGTGATTTTAAAGGGATCCTGACTATGTCTTCACCTTCACCATCAGAGATCTCATGTGCAAAAAGTAAAATCACTTTGTGAAATGCCACATGAGAAAGGGACTTAGCTGGTGTACCCATTCATTCGTCTCTGCTCCCCACCCTAGAGAGCTCCTCTGGGACGTGAGTACCCATCACTGAACTGTCTCTCTGCCATGCTGCCCAGGAGCGCCATCAGCCCTCTGGGCACAGTCCCAAGATAATGCAGATTTTTAAGGTTTAAAGGAGCAGAATGACACACACTGTCAGCAACATGCTCAGCTATTGATAGAACCAAGCTAAGATTTGGGCTGACGTAAAACAGTGTCCTGCATAAGGATTTGCTAAACATCAAGTTAATTTATGTATCTTTTGTGCTGGTGGCAGCTGCTTTTGTTTTAGAGTCAAGCAGAAAACAGAACCAGCATACAGTTTATTTTCTATTTTATAGCATTGCAAACTTCACCAGGATTCATGGAGCCAGATGCCAAACTAATTGTTTGATCGGTGGTCTTAATGTCTCACCTGACTCTTAACAAAATTATAGGCTACATACTCATTCCCTGCTCTCCTTTTGCCCCAACCTGATTTTCCAGTTACCACCTAAGGCAGTGATGGTGAATCTTTTAGAGTTTTCAATGATACAAAATAGCCCACCACTGAGCTAAGGTCCAAATGTCAGGCTTAAGGATTAGGGGTTTAAGATAAATCCCAGTTCACAGTTGTTTGCACTGAGCACAAGATCCAGAGGCAGCCAACTGTTTACATTAGGCAAGGGCCGAGGAGATTGGGGCAGACTGAAGAGATAGGGCATCTCACTCTTACTTACTTACGTACTTTGTGGCAATAGGCACCTGAACACCTCAGTGAACATAGAAATGGGCACCAGCATTGGAGGAGGATATTTTAGACTGAATGCCCCTTGCAACCTTCTACAGAAGTCAGTCACAAAAGCTGGTTCTGAGCTTAAGCCTGCCCAGTGGGTCCAAGTGTTCTTCACACAGGTCCAAGTGTTCTTCATTGACCATGTTGAGGAGAAAGGCTTAATTCAGTCACAGGTGGACCCCAGGTAGTACTTAGGGGGTACTATCTGGTAATTATGAGCCCACTAAAAGTGGAAGGCACAGGGTATGTAGAAGGCCCAGGACATTATAGGAAGCACAGAGGATCATGGGAGCCACACAGAGGATTATGGGAAGACTATGTGGCAGTTCTTTGATGGTCTACATGGTATATAAGAAGAGACAAAGGGGGTTCTAGAAATGACATTAAAACAAACATAGTAGGATTGGAAAGAAATAGTTTATGGTAGTCTGGTTTTATTTTTTTCCTCCTCAGAAAAGTGTACCATGAGTATGGTTCAGGGCAGCAAATCGTGAAGTTTTAATTCTGTTTCTAGCCCTTTCAGGAGGAATTTGAACTAGATTTCCTAATCTATAAAGTTCAAGTTATAATACTTAACTTCCAAGGTTATGCCAATTAGTGAATATAAATATAAATGTACAATACTTGCTGCCTGGTGAGAATTTAACAAGTATTATCATCATTATTAAGTACACATTGCAGATGAACACCTGAGCGAGGCAAGACACTTGATTGGCTGGTGAGGGGCATGAAGTGATTTATCACCACAGAGCCCACATGCTGATTTCTCCCATTGTTCTTGTGCCTCTGCAGCCAGGACCTGGGCTCCAGTTGCTGCAAATTCCCTTCCTCACTTTGCTAGGGATAAAGCACTCTTCAGTCAGAGATTAGGGATGAGTCCAGAGGGCAAATTTAGACATTGGCCTGAACCCCAAGGATTTGTTTCTATCTGAGTCTCTCAAGTGACCAGAGCATGTTCCAGACAACATAAAATGCTAATCAAGTGGTGGCACCATCTCCGTCCATTGGTGCCCTTCCCTTCCACCCTTCCTTCTGTCACCCAGAGGTGCTCTGGCCCTTGACAGCTAGAGAGTCCCAGACATACGTGGAGCCTTCCCGATGTCTCCCACCTTTTGCTTTAGCAGAATGGGACTGGGTCAGAAGTTAGTACACTGTGCTCGCAGTCCTCAGAGCTGGGCTGAGCTCTCCTTCTCAGCTTTGCCCCAAGCCAGCCCTGAACCTGCTTAAGTGGCTTAAGGCAAGCTAGTTGCCTTCCGTTTCCCTCTGGGCCTGTGATAGGCAACCCTTTTACGCATTCGAATAGCAAAATACAGCCCTCCTCATCCACTTGTTAATGTCCTCCCTCTTGGGTTCTGTAGAGCACTCAATTGTTGAATGCAAAAAAATACAAAACTGATCACTTCTCCATGACAAAAAGGTTTGTGTTACCAAAATCAAATTTAGTTTCTTCTACTTTGAGATTATGCTTTACTGGACAGAAGATCTCTTTTCTTTCCTCTCTCTCTCTCTCTCTCTCTCTCTCTCTCTCTTTCTTTCTTTCTCCCCCCCTAGTACTGGGAGTTGATAGAAAGGCTTCCACATTGAGCTATTTCCCTGTTGCCCAGAATAGACTTGAATCTACAATCCTCTTGCCTCAGCCTCCCAGATTGTTGGTATTACAGGTGTGTGCCACCATGCTCTAACTTTTCATTTTAATGCTCATAGTGTAGAATTTTGAGGATTTTTAAATGGTAAATTCAGAGTGTGTTGTACTAATGTGTACACAGCATACTGAGATCATACCATCACCCGCAGTGACTGAGTTTCCACATGCCCTTCAGTGACAGTTACATCATGCCTGCCACCTGGTTAACAGCAACTGAATATGCCATTAAACAGCGTCTTAACTTCAAAGATGTTAAAACATGGGGTTAGAGGGTGCTTTAATAGAAAAAATGCAATTATTTCACAAAAATATAACTTTTAGCCACTTCTATTTTCATCCTGTATTCTCTCAACATATTTTCAGCTTAAGGAATATCTAGATCAATTTGTGCTCCATTAACTGAATTGATAATTCACCAATTCTCATTTGAGGTAAATGGGATGCTGCCTTTTTTTCAGGATGATAAACAATGATAAAAAAGATCACATTTACAAATGAATACTTGCACATATCTTTGGTTACTTTTGTAATGATACATTATTAAATATTTTATTTGGTATCAAAAAAATGGACAAATGTGTTCCTTATCTATGAGAACTTAGGTAACCTCTCTCATTTCTATCTTTCTTTCTTTGGTTCTTTCTTTTTTTACCTCCTTATTTCTATACTGAGGAGTCATTTCTTCTTATTTCCATATTGAAAAATCAGCTAACATATCATCAGGCCAAGAATGTCAAAAATCTTCATCTGTCTACTGACAAACTCGTTCCTCAACTAGAATTCCAAAGTTAGCAAGTAGAAATATAAGACAACAGTTAAGTTTTAATTTCAAATAAACAACAAAAGCTTTTAATGTAAATATGCCCCATGCAATATTTGCGATAATCAGACATACTGATACAAAAGTATAAACTTAGACAAACAGAATACAAACTTGTTATATGAAATGCAACTTTATGTTATTTGGCCACCCTAACCCAAGTGTACCCTAGGAGTCTGCAGGACCCTGTGCTAATTCACTGAGCAGGTCAGTTCATTTTGGAGGGTCTTTGGAATTACTTCCTTGAGCACATGACTATTTTAATAAAAATGTTTTATTTAGCCTAGGCCTTTTATCACATGAAAATCATTATTAATAGGAGAATCAGTGAGACTTGGGGGAAAAAATGGTAAATTCAGAGTCAAAAGACTAGAGCAAGACTAGAAGCAAGTGTACATATGCGAACACACATGTAATGTCAGGAGGCTGAGGCAGAAGGATCATAACATCATTGTCAATTTATTTAACTGAGATTCTATCTCAAAAAATGTTTTAAAGTTTTATTTTAAAGGGCTGGGGATGTAGTACAATGGTAAAGCAAGCATGATCCCAGTACCATGCACACACAAGCACACACACACACACACACACACACACAATCATTTTTCCCTCTATACCTTTTACAAAAGCCTTATCTCCTTGACTGTCATGTTTCTAAGTAAAAACATGAGACCCACATTATCTTACTGGCCTCCATATTGCTCTGTAAAATAGCAATGGGCTTATTTATGTGAAAAATTCTATAAACTGCAAAATCCCAAAGAGACTACTTTAAGATCATGGGAGAGAGGCCAGTGGTGTTAGAGCATTAGAAGCTGAATTTCTCCAAGCTGCAATGGGCGCAGCCTCACTACCAGCCGCCTGTACGGCTCGCCACCCCTGCTGACGCATAAGCTACCCCCGAGACCTCCAGAAAGCCAAGCACTCAGAAATGGTTCCGTTGGAGGTGCTGCACTCTGAAGGCCAAAGACACTGAGAAGTACATTTTTCTCCAAAAGGTTTAGGAAAAGTATTCAAATAGATTTTTGTGTTTTGAAAGCAAGATTGTGATTAGACTTGATGTCTTGATTTATAAGATATCTTCTTCAATGCAAGTTGTAGAAAGAGCATTAAAGAACAATCAATAGCTCACACAAGAATTTTGACCCAGGGAAAAAAATCAATTGAATAATCTCAAGGATATTGGCTCCGTTGGATGAATTTGTGAACAGGGGAAAATTCCATCTAACACTGTTAAGAGAAAGATCAGTTGTCAGTAATTTGGTAAAGCTGTGATGTCTCAAGGGGGCTGAGGGACTGTAGAACCAGGCCAAATCATGGCAGTTTTATATATATATATATATATATACACACACACACATACTCACATCCACCTCCTCCCTACCCCTCTGCACTTTGGGCTAAAGAATTCATCCTTATGTAATATACAAAGCCTAAAATCAAGAATTTCTGAACATTAGATGATACAGTTTAAAATATAAAAAGATAAAAATGAAAAAATGTTAATATAGAACACAGTCTCATTTTTTTCAGTTTTCAGAGCATTCATATAAACAGATTAAATAATTCAAGATGAAAATAAAGGAAGATTTGAAAGTGGGAGTTTACAGAACAGTAAACTATAAAAACATGGTTAACTTCACTAGAAATGGAGATGAGAGATCAGCGCCCAGAGATCAGATAAGTGAAAAATTAAAAACTATTCAATATTCAGTCCTGGCTGCACTGTGGAGGACTTGCTGCCAGATGTTGCCAGAAGTGGTGACAGCCTACTTTTTGTTGTTGCTGGGTTTTTTTGGTTTTGTTTTGTTTTTTGAGACAGGGTCTCGCTATATAGTTAGCCTGGCCTTGAACTTGTGGTAATCCTCCTGCCTCAGCCTTCCAAATGTTGGGATTACAGGCATGTGTCACCTCATCAACCAATGGTTTACTTTTTAAAGGACAATTTGATAATATTAATGCAAAGGAGAAGCATATACTCCTCAACCCCACAGCTCCACATAGCTACAAGATTCATTAATACATATACATAAGAATATTTATTACAGCACTGTTCATAAAAGCAAAATACAGTACTGAAGCAATCTAAATATCTTGTATGATAGACCAGTTAAGTAAATAATATAGCCATATAACATAATGTTATGCAGATATATAAGCTGAAAAAGAAATGGACCAGACTAGGAACTGGGGAAAGGACAATTATTAATCCTATACTAATCCTACACCTTCCAAGTTCAAAATACATCAGAACACATTTGATATAAATAAAAAGGGTATGAATACATGTGTGTGTGTGTGCAGACTTGTTTGCATAAGCATCTATTTGGTAATGAAAGCATACTTTTTTATTTCCTGAAAGACCAAAAGGAAACAATTCATAGAAATTCCTTTGAGAGTGGCCTAGTGATTGGGTAGGGCTTTTCGGATTTGGGGTTTTATCTTGCTTTCTTTAATTGTTTGGAAGCAAATCAGAAGCAGAACTGCACATCCTGTGATCACACCAAAAGATGCAGCAAGACTTTGGCATCTCAAAGCCAAGGGCAAGTGCAGTGAAACATCAAAGGACTACATTATCTGCACAAAGCCTGGTTAGCTTGATGTCAGGGTTCACAGCAAAGCCCTAAATCCCAGCAGACATTATCTCCACTTGGAGGCAGAGGACCTTGACACTCAGCAGTCGGGGCCATGCATGGTTGGAGTTAGGGGAGTCTTAACTTCACCCTGGAAAAGAGCTGCGCAGCTCAGAGAGCAGCAGGGTAGCTGTCTCTGGTGGTAGGCGATAGGATGAGGGTGCCCTGACCTGCCAGGGGAATCAAGGAAGTTTCTTCAAAGAGGTGATTTGTGATGTGGAGCCTGAACTCAGGATGAGGGATAGGAATTGTCCGAGTAAAGGGATGGGCTGGAGAGCTGTCAGGTAGAGGGAACAGCATGTGTGATGGCTAGAAATGGAATCACAGGTGAGCACAGGTGGCTGCAGCGAGTGCAGAGTGGAAAAGTCTTATTTTGA